ACAGGTTCATTTCAGCCCGAACAGTATGTCGAGGTGATGGGCGAAGCAAGACATGTTGATTTTTTGTAGCTTATTGTGAAGTTGCAGTGCATGAAAAACGGGCACATGACAAATCAGCACATACATAAAACATTCTAGTGTTCCGTGGTATACATCCTTTCCACGTGTCATACCTCCTTTCCTTATTACAATGAATTTTTACTGGCTTGTTATCCATTGCTGGTTTGTTTTGAGCAGAGAATGTGCATGTACAAAGAGGGTACCGTTTCAGCAGATTTCGCAAAGAGGGTACCGATATGGATATGCACCGTGTTAAATATTGATGAAATCCTGCTAGTCATAGAGGATATTTGTTTGTTTTGCATGTAAGATTGAAATATAATTTCACTGAGTGAACACCAGATGCAATATTTTCAAGAGTGGCGTATTTCAATCTTATATGTAAAACAAATAAAATTTCTTTTTATTTCATGCTTTTTAAGTGATTTTAAGTATGTTTTACTGATTTTGCCGCGCAACGTCGCGTATTCTCCTTTGTGACGTCATGACATCATGACATCATGAATTTTGATATATAGTTCTGTTAAATTTCTCTAATTTTGTTACATTTTTAACATGATATATGGTGACATCGACTTTCTTTTCCGAAATAAGCAAATTTTACACATGACAGAATTAATGACTGCATGTTATTCCATTTAGTTATGATTCTCTTTTCATCCGCATTCAGATATAGTCCGGCTGCAGTGAAAATTATATTTTATAAATTTCACTAGTGGTTTATCGGAATATAATCATCTGATATATTACAATAAAACACTTGATAGCATGAAATAAATTATGTTGTTTGCTGATAACATGGTGCTTTTTGGTAATACTCCCGTTGATCTGCAATCTCGATCTCGACTTGTTAAAATTATATTGTGATCGCTGGGGTCTTATTGTCAATACTGAAAGAACTAAGGCTGTAGTTTTCCGTAAGCGAGGTTATATAAGACCCGACGAGCACTGGCATTACGCGAACTCCTCTCTTGAAGTTGTCGATAATTTTAATTATCTGGGCACTGTGTTTTCTTACAACGGCTCTATAAAGTAAACCAAGACACACTAATGATGTGCATCCGAACGACAGTGCTTTTTATCAAGCAATAAATTCACCGATTTGAATAATTATATTATTTTGAATTTAACACGACATCAACAAATAAATACTGCCGTACCTGATATTAATTAAGCTAAATTGTGCCTGATTGTTTCCGTACTCCGCGTCACATTTTTAGTGGTTACGTCACAGGCATATAATGATTACGTCACATGTCTAAATATAGAACGTCAACACTGGTTTTATTGCATAATTACACTATTCAATATGGAAAAATGCGGGCGTGTTTCAATTCTTAATTTAACACCGGTTTGGAGTTTTAATGCATGAGCCCTGAGTGGTTACTTTTTTCGCATCAAAACGACATTTTAGCTGATAAACACCATTCAGACAGATATCATTTCCATTCTTAGAAGACAAAATGAGGAAGATCACTAATTAAGAAATAACATTGGCCCGAGAGGTGTATATCGGCTATTTAACACCGGTTTGGAGTTTTGATGCTATTTAACACCAGTTTTTTTTCCTTCTTTGTCTATAGTGACAAAATCACGTGAGTGTTAGAATGCTTTTTTTTTCAAGCGATTACGTTCGGTGCTGATTTTCGTAAATTACGCTGTTTGATTTGAGTGAGACTAAAGAGGATTGGAGTACCACACTAAATACCGTATTCCGGTATATACCGGACAAGACGCTTGAATTATCAAATGCTGAAATCTCGCCTTTTCACCTTATAGAATAAACTTTAAAGACGTTTTCGGAAGTTTTCATATCTGTAGACAAATAGGCAAAATGAAAACAGTCCAATAGAATTTCTTTGAACTTTGCATGTTGTTAGAATATGATAACAGAAACATTTTAAGCAAAAAAATGGGGTCACCGTTCTCGTTTTATTAGGTAGATTAATTATAGTTACAACGCTCTGTCAAGTGTGCTTAACGCCAAATGTTATTACTTCTTGCATATCAGACAGGATCATCTACCCTTTACACCTGTCTTACACCCTCATATAAGACCAGTCGCGTGCTTAAAATGACGCCATTGTCGTGCGCCTTTTATGAATGAATTGCGTTCTTAGGATGACGTCATTTTACCGGTTTGAATGTTGTTAGCTCATACACTATTATAAGAAAAAAGTGCGTAATGAGAATATCAGTTTTCGTGATTTCTGTTCTGAAAATAATTGATATGTAATATGCAAGAAAAAGAAGCAAACACAGGCTGTTGTCACAGACTAATAATATCTGTCATATGTTGCGGTTCGGACCGGAATATCCGTCCCGAGGGGACCCGCCCATTGGGCGGTAACGAGGCTTGCTATTTTCATGAGTGGCGTAGCCACGAGTGAAAATATGATAGCTGGGGTGTTCCCGAATGAAATATATTTCAATCTTATATACAAAACAAATAAATTTTCTTTTTATTTCATGTATTTTAAGTGATTTTAAGTAATTTTTACTGATTTTGCCGCGTAACGTCGTGCATTCTCCTCTCTGACGTCATCACATCATAACGTCACATCATCAATTTTGAAATATAGTTCCGATATATTTCTCTAATTTTGTTACATTTTTAACATGATGTATGATGACTTTCTTTTCTTAAAATAAAAATATGTATGACGGCATTTATTTTTGCCTGTTATTCCATTTAGTTATGATATTTCTTTCATCCGCATTCAGATATAGTTCGGCTACAGTGAAAATTATATTTTATAAATTTCACTAGTGGTTTATCAGAATGTAATCATCAGATTTATAATAGTAAAACACTATATAAAGCATGAAATAAATGTTTTTATCTATTTTGTGCCCCCACCATAGAGGGCATTTAGAATTACCTTTGTCAGTCTGTCCCTTCAATCTGGACATTCTTTCTGAGTTGATATTTTGGGTTTTTTATAATTATGCCCGAAAGAATTTCGGGCATATTATGTAATACCCCCCCACCCCTGGCGTCCATCCGTCCATTACCAATTTGGTTTCCGGAGAATAACTTAAGTAACATTTGGCCCACAATATTCAAACTTCATAGGATGATCGTCCACATTGGGTAGAAGACTCTATTGATTTTGTGGTCACAAGGTCAAAGGTCAAGGTATCTATTACCTTAAAACTGAAAACAGTTTCTGGAGCATAACTTAAGTTCTATTTGACCCACAGTGTTCAAACTTCATAGGTTGAGTGTTCATATAGGCAGAAAAACTTCTATTAATTTTGTTGTCACAAGGTCAAAGGTCAAGGTCACTATTACCTAAAAACTGAAAACAGTTTCCGGAACATATCTTAAGTTCCATTTGGCCCACGATGTTCAAACTTCATTGGATGATTGTCCATATTTGGAAGAAAACCCCTATTGATTTTGGGGTCACAAGGTCAAAGGTCAAGGTCACTATTACCTTAAAACTGAAAAAAGTTTCTGGAGCATAACTTAAGTTCCATATGCCCACAATATTCATACTTCATTGGAGGATTGCTATTTGAACGAGGTAATAATTTATTTAATTCTCATGTCTTACAAATGCTTCACCGTACTAAAAAACCATACTTTCGGGCATATAATCCTTCGCTTAGCGGTGCTCTTGTTTTTATTGGATCTCTTTGATCTATAAAACCTCACAAGTAACGTATTTGCACCCCATAGGCAACCCTTTTTCCCACAATAACAAGTCTGTACGTAATGAACATGGATATCCATCCCATAATGTCACTTGAGTTCGTGCGGACGTACGTCTGTCCGTTCTTATGTTGTGACGCACGTAGCTCAAAAGGTATTTGACCTAGAGTCATGAAACTTTACAGGAATATTGGTAAGCATGTGTAGTTGTGTGCACCTCAGTCTTTGCGTATGGTTTTATTTAGTATTTTTTTAATTATAAAAAATGCAATTTTCAAATTGTGTCGCACGTAGCTCAGAAAATATTTGACCTAGGAACATGAAACTTTACAGGAATGTTCCTCATTATGTAAAGTTGTGCACCTGGTGTTTCGCTTGTGGATTTATTCTGTTTTGTCAGAGTAAATGCTCTTGACTTAGTAAAAAATTTTCAATTTTCAATTTGTGTCGTGCGTAGCTCAAAAGTGTTTGACATAGGGTCATGAAACTAAACAGGAATTTTTGGTCAGCGTGTATAGATGTGCACCTAGGGGATTTGCCTGTAGAGTTATTCAATATTTGTAGAGTTATTGCCCTGAACTTAGTAAAAAATTGCTCTTTTCAATTTGTAATTTGTGACACGCGTAGCTCAAGTATTTGACCTAGAGTTATGAACCTGATCAGCATGTGAAGTTATGCACCTCAGGCCGTATTCTTAAAGAATCTTAAGTGAAAAATTTCCCCTTTACTCAAAATTTTCCCTTAAAATCATATGAGTTTTATTCAGTATTTTCAAAGTTATTACTCTTGAAATAGAAAAAAATTTGGAATTTTCAACTTGTTCATACATATCTCAAATTGTATTTGATCAGTAGTCTTGAAAGTTTCCAAGAATGTCGGTCAGCATGCGTAGTTTTGCACCTTAAGGTTTGCTTGTGAATTTATTCAGTGTTTGTAGAGTTTTTGCTTTTGACTTAGTAAAAGATTTTCAGTTTCTAACTTACGTCGCGTGTAACCCCAAAAAAAATATTTGACCTATAGTCAGTAGATTGACAAAACAGTGGAGTTTTGGGGCCCCGTGTCCATAGATACATTTCTAGTTTTGACATTACAATTTGAAATACTTCCCCATAAATTTTGTGTATTGGTTGAATTATGAAGAAAAGTTAAAAAGTTAAAATACGAAAAATATGTTTTCTCTGAGAAAATACGGAAAATGAAAATACGTCTTTTTTTAAATCAATATTTAAAATATTGAATTTACAAGTATATAATAAATGTACTCATTTGTTGTTTACTTAAGCTCTAGAAACTGTATGACTGCAAGAACAGCGACAGGCAATGATGACATTGACCCTTATGCAAACGACCTTGCAGGTCAAGTTTACAACCCTGACACCCAATGTGAGATGATGGTAGGAAAAGGATCGTTTTTGAACAGGGTAAGGATACTCTGATGTCATTTGATAATATGTCAACATTAACAAGATTTTATCATTCCCATTTTAAAGACAAATGGTGTATTGCTTGCAATTGTCGGTCTTCGTTTCTGTTAAACATGGCGATGTAAATTAACCTTTCGACTGCCTAGTATAATCAACTATATTAAGTATAGACACCTAATATTTTAGCGTAAATGGCACAGTTACCTTGATTATGAAAACCGGCTCCGCTCATCAACTTGTGAACCATTTAAACACTTCGCCATAAATCTTAACAAGATTATTAAGAAGATCCTTATTGTTTTTAAGCGTCAGTATGTACAGGTCAATGTCTCTTGAATGTTGAATTTAAAGCCACATTTTGTTTCAGAAACAAACTTTCACTTCTTAAGAAAGATCAAACTTGAGTTCTATAATGTTTAAATAATGGCTTTAAAGTATGTTCGATGCTTGTTACATGAAGAAAGTAGCGATAAATTTGAAGTTATTTGTCATATAAGGAGCAAAATGCAAACAAACTAGTAATTTGACTTCCATACAAAAACATAACTGTACGTATTGACAAAAAGCACAATATGAAAAAGATAAGGTAATTGGCCAACGGGTAACCTTTTACACCAACAATAAAAAGTTTTGATAAATAAAAATAATAGCATTCTGAGGTATAATGGGCCTTTAATGTGAAAAACATTCAATACGTAATCATTTGATCCACAACCTTCAAACTTTAAAGAATGATCAAATTCATAAAGTAAAAGAGCCATGCTGTTGTTTTTGCACTAAGCTGTGTTGAACCTCAATATTCACAAAAAAGACTTCAACACACGTTTGAAAAATTCGCTCGAATTCCTTACACGTGTGTGACAAGTTCGTACGAATTTGGCACACATTTGTGAATTATTCGCTCAGCACCTTTACCAACCTCCCCCCCCGCCGCCAAGCAGAAACGAATTCGTCACGTGTTAATGGCTAGATTTTAATGAAACTTCTTTATCAAGAGAAGATGAGAATATCGTTTAGGTTACCGGGTTCGACCATTAAACACAGAGTTATTACCCCTGATTCGTTAAACAATAATATTTAAGTTATTTTCGTTTCCGAGCTATTTTGGAAACACTATTGGCTTGATTTAAGTGAAATATGACGTTGTACTTTGAAATAACAACCGTGGAAAAAACAATGAAAAAAAAAAAACCAAATATCATCCATAAATGCATAAAAGAAACAGAAAATTTGTTAAATTCAGTGAAAGATCATTTGTTATTTCACTAGTGATCATATAAATCAATGTTTTCATATTGATTTTTATGATCACAAGTTAAGTTGTAATCTATTCCGTATGTAGAATCAAGTTTTCTTCACAATCTGGTAAAGCTTTTGATATATTTCGCTTGATAGACTGCAACTTTTAGTGCATTACATCGATTCAGGGTCAGCTTGGACCTAAAACTTACTCTGCCTCCGAGTCAGCTCGGCCCTTTTCTAACTCGGTCCACTTTTCAATGTATTAATATATTGGTTTGTTTTATCACTCTTTATTGTTGGAACCACATAATTAATATCTGGACTTATTCAGAAACGTGGAAAGATATTTTCTTTAATTATTATTACATTTTTGGGGGTGCTTAACTACCTTTTGAACACATCTCTATTAGCTTTCTAAGCTGGACAAAATAGGTCCAAAACTTGCCATGGTATACAGGAAAAATGTAGTTATTGGCAAAAAATGATATTTTTCTATTTTGTGATCATGATTTTTGCAAGCGACTGGAGGTACTGCCCAAGTCCTGTAATGAGTTAAATCCTGTCCAATGAGAGTCAAAGAATGTGCATAAATATAGTACCAACATTATTAAGTCATATGTGAACTTACTATCATAGAACGCTACAACAAACAATATATTGCAATATGTTTTTTTTTTCAAATCAGCTTTAAAATGCTTCAAACGGCAAATATATTGTAAGAACTTTGTATGCATATGAAATATGAATACATACTTTTTTCTCATGTACGTAATTTTCCCGTATTATGGCGTAATCACCATGTTGACAAGGTAAGCAGGTAAACATTGCGAAATTATGTTCACTGTTGAATACGACTGTATGATATTCATTGTTTATATTTCACTATACTTTGAAAAATAATTGCAATCTGGTGTAACAATTACTTCATCCCTTTGTATTTCCCTTTAGTGATTAATAATGCATAAAATCGTGTGAAAGAAATCCGATACAACTCGGCCCTTGTCTAACTATATTCTATCTTTAACTAATATAAAATGAAAAAGTAATGTTTAAACTTAAAGAAAAAAAGGTTCCACTGGCCTGGGGTTTGATACCATTACTCTCAGTTCATTGCTGTTGGTAGATATTCTAGTCTATAAAGATACTCAAGTATGTTATATATAATAGGGTTGGTTTTTTTTATCTTGAAGCAGCATGCCTCAAAGTTATTGCTATTTTTCATGAAAATTTGAAAAAAATGTATATCAAAGTAAAATATTGTGAAGTAAACAAGGAAAGTAAAGACTATTGTACATATTGCTTATGACACAATCCATATTATTTACAAAAAAAGACTCCAAAATATGCAAAAATAGCCCGGAGATAGTCAGACTGTAGAAATTTTGGGATCATTTGAATATTGCAAAATCAGTCATTAATGGCACATCGAGGGCTCAGCGCAAGACTATTCTAACTCAATATTTTTCAGAAAATGTTTTTTTTGTCATTTTCTTGATTCTACATACGGAATAGATTACAATATTTTTCAGAAAATGGTTTTTTGTCATTTTCTAGTATAAATTCCTTCAATGCATGTTTTGTTAAAAAGAAATAATTTATTTCCCATTATTTTTAAGTTTTAAACATTTTAAGAAAATATTCTATCTGGTTATATAATAAATATAGTGCAAAACTATTCTAAGTCAAGTTAGAATAGTTTGACAATCACTTTTAAGTTAAAAACTTGATATTCCTTTATGCAAGACTATGCTAACTTCAAGTTAGAATAGTCTAGCGAAATTATAATTGCTCTTAACAGAAGTTATTGCTATTGGAACTATTTTAACTGAAAATAAACAAAGTTTGATGATGTCATCACAAGCTTTCGTGATGTCATAAATTCCAAAAATATTTATGACACTTTTTGTATGATCATATTTTACAGAATTTTACAGTTTACAAACATATTCTTGCGTGTTTGTTGTTGTTGTTCTTTTCAAGATGAAGAAAATTAATTTTGATTCCTCATTATTTTATACTAAGTGTAACAGTCAATTTAAAACACTTGTAAAGATTAATTTATTTTACGGACTGCATGACATTCAAATTCTCTGAACAAAGAACAAAAAAATAAAATATCAGAACTCAGTATTATACAATATTAGAAGAAATCTTCCCTTTTTAGTCTGGATGAAGAAAGTGACATTAGTGATCCTGGATGAAGAAAGTGACATTAGTGGTCCTGAGTACTGGCTTTCAGTGAGTTTCAATAAAACAACAGAAGAATAAAAATAGCTTTATATCAATACAACCATGCAAAAATCCTCTCTGAATAAAATCCAATTCAAAAATAATAAATACATTGATTTGAATGAAGTGTTGCCAGTATGCACAAATTATCAACCTTTATTTAGGAAGCTTTAAGGTGTATTAAACCGTTCAAAATTTCTTGGGATAAGAAGACCACTGTAAAATACCCATATCTTGACCAAAATACACTGTTTCAAATTATTTGTGTGTCTCAAAAATTCTGGACAATCACAACAGATAGGTAACCAGGCAAATTACCTCAGTGATGAAACACTAAGCATTCACATCCATATGGTGTATGGGTTGAGTCCCCTTGTTCCCATTTTTTTCTGTATGTGGAACATTTGAGTGCTGACAAGTTTTATCATCATTATTATAGCAACTATGCAATGAATACTTTTGTGATATGATATTTTTAAAATTCTTTTTAAATGCTCATATGAGAACAGAAAAAGGAACAAGCAAAAAGGCAACAATATGTCTGTAACAGTATTAAAGTATTAAAACAGTATATAATATTAAATCCTGGGATAAAGTATGCAAAGTGGGCGATAATATTTCTGACAATCAGTGTTTATGAAAGCATGCAGTTTTTATAGAAAGGCCCTTTTCAGTCTGACTAAAGATCAGATCTACTTATTTCTTACATGTTGATCTGATTACCCCCGTATTTGTTTAATTTTCATTGTAATTTGGATTTCCCAGAAAAGCTATTTTTAGCAATGAAATAAAACCGTCCTTTACAGATAAGAATAAGACGAAGTATCAAAATATCGTTTTCTGTTAAAGTAAACATATTGTTGATTTTTGATAAAAAAAATGTTGAAGTAATGTGAAATACACTGGAAATTAATGACTAAATTTTTAATGGGCATTGTTGTTTTGCCAGTTTACCTGCCGGCTATTTGGACAACACCATGTTTGTTCTCGAAATTGTGAAAATGACCTACTCAGTAATGGTTTTCCAGCCGTTAAATTTAGAAACCATATCACTTTCAAAATTGTGTAAGCTCGACGATGATTAGCTGTTTAATAGGTTATGAGAAGGTGACAACCTATTGGTGGTCGTCAGATCCTAAAGCATAGTGTTAATTGGGAGCTGATTTAATCATATTGAAGCCCATTCTTACATTTGCATGCAATTTATGCTCAACATTTTCGTTATTTACAGTGAAAATAGATTGCCTCCTATTTCTTAAAGGAATTTATAATATGTTTAGAAGTTGGGTAAGAAAAGGGAAGAGAAATGAGAAGAAACTCTTAAAGCATCTCGTCTAGTACCAGTACTCTTAAAGATTCTAATTATTACCAGATCAAATAGCATGACTTAAGTTTTCAAGCCTGAAGATTTATTTCTTAACATAAGGATTGTTTTTTCCAAAGCAGCACATTCTTTTACATTATGACAATTAAGTAATACTACAATATTATGACACTTAATTACTACTAAAATATGTCTTCTAAAG